ATATTAGAGGTTCAGAGCTAAAAAAAATAATACTATTTATTTTTTAGTAAAGTGTATATATATAAAAAACAGCATATTTAATATGTATTCTTAAATGAAGCCAGCAGGTGGAGCTCTGGGCTCTTTTTCACATACTTTCCTGGCTAGTCTTATCATTCTTGCTAATAAAAGCCTGTTGCTCACACTATTCAACAGCTCAAGCTAAGAAAACTGAATGAGATGGAAGAGTGATTCGTCCCTCTCTCAACCCTTCAAAGAACTAATCCTTTGTCTGAAAGCATGCAGCATCTGCTGTGCTCACGAGTTCTAAAATTCATAGTACTCTTTGAATCTTGTGTCATGAGTGCATTCCATAATAAATGTTAATTTGAAAAACAAAGATTTTTTAGATAAATAGTTGGAAAAGTTATCATGCACTAAAATATGTAATCTTTAAAACGGTAAAATAAAATTCACCCTAAACCATTATAGTTTCCCTTTAATGACCGTGACAGGAAGTAGTTGGACTGGGTTCTTCTAGTGTTCAGTGTAGATTATACTGGTTATTTTTTGCAAGGTCATCTTTAATACACCTGTAATCCTCTGTAGAAAACATGAACAATTATAGTGAGGACTGGTTTGGAAAACACTTCTGTAAACCATGTAGTTTAGTCTCACCAGATAGAGAAATCCATTTTGGATATCCGGCTACAAAAGCTGCAGTCTCACAAATGTTTTAGTTACAGCTGAGCAACCTTTTTAAAATTTCTTTCTTAGTTTAGTTTCTTTCTTGCGGGGGATGCCACCACCACTCCTCTCACGTTTCTCTTTTTTTACACAGAAGTATTTAGTGACAGTCTTCCTGCACTGTTCACATTTAACAGCACAGCACCAATGAAACTTGCAGTTGCAGCTGGAGACCATATCCGCTCTTCTTTCCTCCACCACCAATCCGCAATCTCCGCACAAGCGTTTGCAGCTCCGCTTTTCCCACTTGCTAAGTGTCTTGCCTCTTTTAAGGCACTCCCTGCCTTCTGTACCCAGTAGGCTAAGAGTCTTGTTCTCCAGGCAGTAGTCAGGTGAATCTTCCAGGTGGACAAGTTCTTTCTTGGAAATGGAGCTAAATGTTTCAGCTATTGCACCTCTGCTGGCTGCACTATTACCCGCTCCTTGCAGCAGATCAACTTTCAGAGCTTTGTGATATTTCTCCTTCAAATAGTAGCCCACTTCTCTAAATTCCGGCAACTGTAGCCAGCAGGTTTGAGTTGTACAGCTTCCGGAAACACCATGACACTTACATGTCCTCTTCATTGTGCTCTTTACTGCCTAAATAGAATGGAAGTAGTAGATGGGATACATTGCAGTATTTTTACATATCATATACAGTATATACCATATCATGCACACATTATCTTCTACCATAGCATGCACATATTATCTTCTACCATAGCATGCACATATTATCTTCTACCATAGCATACACACATTATCTTATCTACATGATGTGCTTTTTCTTCTTGAGCATTGCCCCTGAGGTAGAAACCTGTAACAGGTTTGGAATATTTTCTTAACTTCTCAGTAATGTGATATGTGACAAGATATGGTTCTGCAACAGTATAATTTGTTTTTTAAAAACACTGCACTTTCTCTAATTTATCAGCTGTACTTGAGCACCATTCCAGTGACATGACCTTGGCTGAAATTATGTCATCAGTTTTCTGTAGGCAAGAGGAAGCATTTCCTCATTTTCCTCTGCCCCAGTGATAAGACTGCAACCTTGTGACTTTGCAACAAGTCAAGATGATCTGTGTAAGACATTTGATAACATACCAAGATTGCCATGATTATGTGATCTCTGAACTGGGAAATAGATGCTGACTCTAGATAATGCCTAAACAAACATGACTCCTTTCTTTATGGAGAGACAAGCAGATGAAGGCAATGTCATGGGGAGTACTGTTATCTCTGAGAGAAGTAATAAATACCAGTAAGTGTTGCGCATACATATACCTGCACCTAACATAGAAAACTATATAACCTAGGTCTACTATAAACAGATAATCAAGAGCACAAGAACACAGGATAAATAAATAACACAGAGCCTTTATGACTATACCTTCCTTCCAGCCTCATTATTATGAAGATTCATGGCAGCTCTAGCATCTTGTCCAGTCTCCAGTGCATCCACAAACTGCTTAGATATGGACTCTCCAAAACCGACATTGTCACTGCAACCACCCCAAAGCCACCCTTGTCCACCTGTGAGCAGACACACAAAACATCTGATGGGAATTGTTTAATACGGTCTTTATTCTGAGATGTGTTTTTATTGCAGAGTATGTTTACAGGGTCAGCCCACCCAAAACTGATATTGCTGGAAATGTAAACTGGCATTTTTTGTATATTTCTTAGGGACTCTGTTGTTGAGAACTATGAACGTGTGTTCCTGGGTATTGCACACCAACTGTGGCCATTGTAGGTGGTGCCCACTTTTTCTGCTTAACTTTTTATTTTATACTATGGAAAATGCAACAGGAGGGGCCAACATTTGCAAAGATGGGCTGGAACTCTCAACACTCCCTTATGAACAGAAATAGTCAACAATTATGGCTCTCCCTGTTGGGGTTTAAAGAAGCCAAAGACCTCAAAAACATCACTTTAAGGTTGGCTGACCCTTTTAAATATGTATATTTATGATTTCAGCCATAACGTCAGCTATGGCATTCAATAATATTACTTTCTTGTAGCTATGAAAACCGTGGAAGCACTTTGTACTTTGTGTATAAAACACTCCCTGAAATGTTGATGCCCATGTGGTTGGTTCACTGCTTTTCCCACCAGTTTTTCTCTAAAAGCTCTTTCACAGAATGGCCATTCCCAAAGTTTTTTAGGCCAAGCACCCTGCACATGCCAGGTCTAAAAATGCCTACTAATTCGAATGGTTCAGTCACACTTTGCAGCTGGGGTGAATGGTGTGTGTCACTACAGTACAGGGATGTGCGGTCAGGGGAGGCAGAGCCTAACCTAATATTATTGAGAAAAAAGGTGTCTGCTTCAAGGCCGAAGCTGACAGCTATTTCTCCATTCAGATCGGCTTGTTACAGGTTACACAGCAGGGAAAGCCTTCCCGCTGTGTTACCTGTCATGGACGGAGCACTGCCCAATAATTACAGGCAGTGCTGCATCCGGATTGTGACAGGTAGGCTTCCCCACTGCTTGTGTAACCTAACTTGGTGAGGCAAGTGCTGCCACAACCTCTACTCTGTGCTGGAGGCGTGAGCTCTGAGGTCTGCCTCAGCAGTGACGAGCAAGTGAAGGACAGGGAGGCTCCTCCCTGTCTCCTCCCTTCCTCCTCCCCACACAGCTTGGTTACCGAGCTGGGGGCGTGGCTTCAGCAGTATGGGGGTGGTGCTTTGGCAGGACAGGAGTTGAGCTTCAGCGGGCTGGGGATGCCTCGCCCAGCACAGAAGGCACGGTACGTCACTTTCTACAGTATCTGCATTGTTCTGGCCACAGTTTCCTATGGTTCTCTTTGCATTTTGTTGCCTCCGACTACTGTCTGTAAAAACAGCAGAACATCAAATAGGGGATTTATAGCTCTCTCTGTATATTACTCTGTTTTAGAGCCCAGCTGCCTGCTCTATAGGTGCACCACCAAAAGCTACTATAATATACCAGCTGGCTGCTCTTTGCTCTAACTTCCAGATAAAAACAGAAAGGAATAATCAGCTTTTGGAACATATGAAGCTAAAGGCAAATCAGAGCAGGGATCAGTCAGTGAAGGAATAATGGCATTCTGTTCCTCCACATCATTGTTTTTACTTACATTGCCTGCAATCTGCTTCTGCAAAACCTGGTCTCATTGCTCATGGCCCAGGGCAGTTAGAAAAAAATACTCTGTGTGTTCTCTGAGTGGTCTCTCTACAATCAGGGGAGTAAGCTTTGTGCTGTGTGCTCTGTTGACTGTTTTAAGGTGAGAGCAGTCATCCTGCTGTCATTAATCTCAATCAATGTAATGTGCCATCGGAAATTAAAGTAGCTGATCCCATTCCCCCACTCCACTTGGAGATTTTGACAGGTCCAACGATGGCCCGGAAACGCTGATGAAAATACGGCAATGCTGGACATTCCCAGCAAGTTCCCAGGTATGCTGATCATGTGATTTATAATGGAAAGACTATCCTGCATAGCAATCAGAAAGGTGGAAAAGAGAGAGAAAACTTTTCATTGCACTTCTTACCAAGCTGCCCATTTCTGGAGTCATCGCAGCCACAGTTATCAAAATCTCCAAGGCTACAGTTCCGTGTGAGTGTATACATTACTCCAGCTGAGCTAATAGCATGCACAAAGGCCGTTTCTCGATTTGCTGAAATAAAATAAAAAAAATAGTACATGTTTAGAATGATGTTTACTTGTGTTATAACTAAAATTTGACTGACTGTTGTTTCTTGGTATCTAATGAAAGAGTTTAAATTACTTTTTTGCTAACAGTTCAATAATTTCTAGCTTTTAAAAGCTCATGGGACCCATTTTATTAATGAATTGTAGTCCTGTTTGAGTTTCTATCCATCTCTAATGTAGTTCTTCATGCAGTTTGCCATGGCAATATTTTATTTTATGCAAACGTGTGCACCTGTATAATTACGCAAACACCTTTATACATGGTGATACCTTTACACTGTGCACGTACAAAGCTTACATTGCAAAAACTAAACAAATGAATATTCTGTTTGGGCCATTCGGACCTGCAGACCCATATTCCTTGCTGCCTGCATTTCCACACTTTCAATATTGTATCTGTGCTGTTACTTTAAAGGAGAACTATGGGGTTAAGGCTTTTCCCCATAGTTCTCCTTAGGGTAACGGGAGGATACAAACTAGCGTCCTCCCGACACCCTAGGCTCAGTATACTGCAAGCTGCTGCTCGCGGTATACTGAGATGCCGCAGCTGAAGTGGATCCTGACAATTGTGCCGGGATCCGCCCAGCTGCGTGACTGACAGCTGGCTCTGCCTATCTAGAGGCAGAGCCAGCTGTACCCGCCCCCTCCCCGTCCGTTCCGCCAGTCAGCGCTGGCGGATCGGAGTGGGGAGGGGGGAATCCAGCCCCTCCCCTGTCACAGCAGAGAGCTGTGACAGGATCGAGAGGTGAGTGAACGCCGGTATGTGTTCGCTCAACTCCCGATCTACTGAGCCGACCTGTGACAGTCTCATTGTCACAGGTCGGCTAGAACTATGAGGTGAGTGAAAAGCACTCACCTCATAGTTCTCCTTTAAGTCGATCTATGAGGATAGAAATATGGAAGCTGCCATTGTTCACTTGGATTTTAAAGGCGCAATCATGCTAATCCTGGTTTTTACTACCAAGCAACTGACCTGGAGCAAGCATGCAGCCAGTAAAGTCTTTAAAGTATGACCTTCTGCCCTGCATGCTCGTACTATGCAAGTACTTACTAAACAAAGGTGTGAGGATCAGGATAACAGCCATGCAATATGTATCTTTAAATACCAAGTCAACAATGGCAATTCTCATAAATCTTTTATTACAGATTCAAATTTTCTGTTGCTGTGTGCCTAACTGCAAGCCAAGGATTACACAGCATCCACCTTTTCATCCTATAGAATGTAGTGTTTATTTTTTTCTTCAAGTTCTTTATTTAAAAAGAGCAAGCGGAACCATTGTGAACATCAGTATACAAAACATTGTCCATGTATACAAGTTATGGCATCTATGTTTCAGAGATGGTTAGGGCTGTCCAGGTATCTAGGGGGCCTGGTGTCCCAAGCTCTATGTATTGTTATTTTAACATGTAGGTGCACAGCTATTTACCTTGATATACTTATCCAGTTCCCATGAATAAATGTCACCAATTACCCAACTTAGGAAATAAGTAAATTCTTTATCATAAGCCTAAAATCAACTACAAGCAGTTAAATGTAGTTTTTCACAGTTTGAAATGCTCTTTATGCTATTATGATTTAAGACAGGTATGCTTAAACATTAGGTTGGTAAATGCATGTAAAAAGACCCATAATTGATGCAGTGGTCCAGGGCTATAATGTCGGAGAGGGAAATAAAACAAGGATTTAATGCAAAAGTGAAGCATTATAAATATGCGTACATTCTTGGAACCCAATACAAACATTTGTGTTGCCTTAGAGCAAGTCAATGCAGAAACAGGCAACTAGTAAAAAGATGTTCACCTTGTTTTAAAAAAACAAAGCATGAGTACAATGCACTAATTCAGAAACCAAAATGCAGAAAAAGTGAATAATTGTCATGCTGTATAAAACACAAAAAATATACTTATTATATATGGCATATATCACATAGTATGTAAGCAGAGAAAAACGATATGCTAAACAAGCTACTTCAGCAAAAATCAGTAGTTTAATTGCAATTTAGTAATTACTGTATATTGTACTGTGCTTGTAATAGCAGACTCATTCCCTCAATTCATGGCCCACAACCCAAGACCCCTTTCTCTTGCTGTTATCTCATATATAACCCATAAACTAGCAATCCATGCTAGGACTGGAGTTTTTCTTCCTGGCCCCATTTGTGTTTAATAGAGAAGGTTGGCAGCAGATGAATATTTGACATTGGTGGTTTAGTGGAACAGTTCATTTTAGAGGGGTGGTGCATCCACAGATTTACAGTGAACCCAGTATAGTGGCAATGTAACAGTGTGAGCCCTTATTTAGATCTCCAGACTTATGGACGGACACCAGAGCCATAAATAAAGGATGGATGCTTGCAGGTGCACCCCGGTAGGCTCAGCCATATGCTAAATCACGTGTTACATTCTAGTAGCTATAAGATGACTCAGTGAAGCAATCCTAGATTGGACACAATTCTAGTTCAAGTGGTGGGACCATCTGTTATTCTAGATGAGAGATCTCTTAATCTATGGGCACCTTAAAAAATTGCCCTCCCTCCCACCATAACAGATTACTACAAAGGAATGAAACTTGAGTGATATATGTGCAATGTATTTATTGATGAAAGTGGCACTTTTCAGGAGACATAGCTGCTGTTTACTGAGATCAGTAACTGCAAATCCACTCCGAGAAACAAAATGTTTATGGTGCTTGAAATTGACAGACCATAAATTCAAGAACCGCTTCTTGTCTTATATCTGCTTTGATTCATCTGTAAGTTATGTTTTATCATCAGAAAGTAGGCCTTTCTTAAATCCATTCAATGAAGCAACCTTTGAATGTTGTAGAACAGAAATGGTGAAGATTGTTTACTGACCAGTGACTTCCAGATTCTTTAGAGAGAAGTTACAGTCCTCTTTGAACCACAGTAAGATGCAAATATTTGCTGTTGATTTCAGTGATCCTTGGACTTTAAGTTGCAGCATTTATGGAAGCATTTGTGGGCCACTGCTGTTTTCTGAGTTCCCGTGCCATGTGAGATTCTATGGCACTCAATGCTTGAGACTCCAAGTTCCATGAGATTTGAAGTGAGATTTGGTGATGTCACCACTTTGCTTTTCACTTTTCTCCTTGTTGTAGATTAACCTGGGGACCTGCAGTGCAAGGATCCCTTTGCTTCTTTTTCATTCATGCTCTACTTTCTGCACCTCTCCTGCTGCTTGATTACTCCTCTATCTCATCAGTCATCAGGGAAGCTGTTGTGACATGAGGAAGCAAAACCCTATTCCTCTATTAATTTGGTCACCTCCACACAGAGACAGGACAGAGACAGAGAAGGTGTGATAAGTCAGTCCTGGGGGAAAAAAATCAAAAAGCGACCGCAGGCAATACTGATGACTAGCCATTTGCTTTCTGATTGCCCATTTTATGAGCACAGCTTGCACAGTTCAGGTCCTCTTCAAGTTCTGTATTGCTAATTAATTCAGAAAATTCCTGCTCAAAAACCAAATCCTGTTCCACACAAAAGAACTAACATTGTACTTGGTGACCAAGGTCAAACACTGGTTTGCTTTTGGAGCCCACTGTAAGGAAAATTATGATTGCCTTCAAAAAGTCATAGTAGCTTTATTTTCCAAATGTAACATATTAAAACTGAACATAAAGGTATATTTTATAGTAGCCATAATGTTAATGATGATTGACAAAAGACATGTAAGATCAAAGTGTGTCCTTTCTACTAGTTGGTCAATAGAAAATAAAAATATTATTTATTCTTAACTGTTTTCCACTACTTTCACTTTTGTTTAAAGCAAGGCAATACATGATCAAGATATTTGCAGATCAGGGGCTCATAGTAATGATAAGCACCAAGCACTACGTGGTACCTGATGCACACGTTAAATGTGGCCACTTCAGCCTGTGCTTTAGTGAGTTCTTTGGTGAGCATATACAGTATGTGGATAGAGCTACTTGATTCAATACAATCTTTGAGACTGGAGTGCAAAGGAATGCTTGGCTGTGTTAGATCTATAGATTGTTGGGAGCTTGTGGCATGATCCTAAGAAGAAAGAACATTCCTTCAATGGTCCTTATTACCTCAAGAAAGTATCAAGTGGCTGATGATATGAAGAAGACCAACACCTGTTTCATTACAGTAGACGATTATAAGTGTCAATCAAAGAAAAAAAACAAAGAAAAGTTTTCATGAAGAAACTAAAGCTGAAATGATGCCATAGAAGCAGCAGGTCATGTGGCTAAGGAAATATTGACTTATAATTAAACCCAAAAATAGAAATCTGTGAAGGAATGGGCAAATTATTTTGTAAAAGTACAGAATTTGGAGAAAAAAAACTTGCACTGACGGAATGGAGCCATGAAATAGAAGAAAGCTCTAACCTGGAGAAAGGAATCCTGCAGAGAGAGATACTCCAGGTGGTGGGTAATTCGGTGGAAAAGGGATCTGGAGACGAGATAAGAATGTCCGGTTGTACTGAGATTCAAGTCTAGAGAAGAGGATCCTGTTGAAGTGAATGCTCCAGACTGGAGAAGAAGGCCCGGTGTCATAGAGGCTGCTGCCTGTGGTAGAAGATCCAGTAGAAGGGGGAGTCCAGTCTGGAAAAGAGGATACTTGGGAAATTGAGGGATTTTAACCCCGACCAACTTATCTTGAATATATATGCTGAATAGAGTGACACTTCGCTGGAATGCAATCAAACTTGACCTCTACTGGAGGCATCCATTGACAAGAGTGCAATGACCAAGGACTTGGATGATAGATCTTGGGTAGAGGTGGCAAGACACCAACACCAGGAAGAAAAACCAAAATCCCCACATTACCACACCCAGGAAATATTTCATAATATAGCCATAGAAAACATGCTATAGCTTGAAGTGAACATATTTCTAAAAAAATGTAAGTCAATTTTCCTGCCTAAAGTATGTAAAGGTTATTGTTAAGAAAAGAAGAAGAGCATGCAACGGAACTTTAACAATCAAGATATGATGAATAAATAAAAATAATTACCACTGCGTAGACCACTGTGGCTGGAAAGCTGTAACGTTCTCTCTGGGCAGTTCCACCGATCCCAGGCAAACTGGTATTTACACTCTTCAATACCACTCTGTGCCCCAGCTGCCACACTGCTTGAGTAAATGAGATAGGCCTATGAGAAAAATCAAATTAGATGGTAATTGCATCTACTCCCATGTAGTAAGAGCATCTTTTTTTATTACATACCCTTTAACATAATACATAATGCAGCCGTGGTGGGAGACAGGATTGTTTTTTTGGGGTTTTTTTGGACTGGAGTTGGGCTGTAGCTTGTATATTTAATGTGCCAATAATAAGACCCCTTTTAAAAAAAACTGGTGTAACAAGCGCTTTTCATTTGTTGCATGTGAATGTACTTTAGGTAGCAAATTGCTGTATATCTTGGGAAATTTGGGGTTGGAGGTAGGTAAGGATTTTTGGATGTTAATTCTGCTGATGTGTGTCCTGCAGCTTATGTACAGCTTCTCCACATGTACTAACTACACTCATAGCAGCCTGAATGTGTGTTTTTAAGGTCATATTGCCTATTTGTTGCTGGAAAAAAAAATTTCACAGCCTGTTCCTGTGTCCCATTGCACTTTATTGCTAACCGGCTGCATGTGTGATTTCACAGGGCAAATTTTCTAAGTTACATTCTTGCCTCTTCCTTTGGCAAGGCATGTGACTTTGGTAATTTGCAGGCAGATGATTGTAGAAGACAAGGACAAAGAGTTGTCACCCCATAACACAAAGTGCCAAAACAAGGACTTTTATATCAGTATCATAAGCTGTTAAAGCTTATATGACATTTTAGTGGTTGATTTTACATCTGCTTTAGCAAACTATGCTTGGGTTCTTTAAATTGCAGTGCTAGATCACTTTGTCTTGTGCTCTGCTGGCATACACAGATCTGTAAACCCAGAATTCCTTTTAAGGGCCAATGTCTGTTTGCTGAAATTGATTAATAACTATCTCTTCCATTGTCAATATCTTTGCTACTGTTTGTCTATAACATGGCTCTAAAGGGTGCTCCGGACCATAGGATGCAAGCATTCTGTGACAGGCATTCTGTGACAGGCATTCTGTGACGGGGATTCTGTGACAGAAGCTGCAGTTAGTGACCGCTGAGACAGGTGGTGCTGTGAATTTAACGCCACTGTCTCAGTAATCACACAGAGCAGACGAAGAACGTCGTTCTTCGTCTGCTCAAGGGGCTCTATGGTAAGCTCCTATACCGTGGTCACGGAGGGTACCCTGAAAACCACGCCAGGGGGGTGGACACGATCGCAGCCGCCACTCGATTCAGTACAAGTGATCTAATTAGATCACTTGTACTGAATCGAGTGGCGGCTGCGATCGTGTCCACCCCCCTGGCGTGGTTTTCAGGGTACCCTCCGTGACCACGGTATAGGAGCTTACCATAGAGCCCCTTGAGCAGACGAAGAACGACGTTCTTCGTCTGCTCAAGGGGCTCTATGGTAAGCTCCTATACCGTGGTCACGGAGGGTACCCTGAAAACCACGCCAGGGGGGTGGACACGATCGCAGCCGCCACTCGATTCAGTACAAGTGATCTAATTAGATCACTTGTATTAAACGAGCAGCGGCACCCACTGTACAACGGAAGCTACTGCATGTCACTGCAATCTAGCCTCTTTTTACATACTGTAGATATTCCTCCCTCTACTCTTATCTACGAGGTGGAATTACTTGTAGCCAACGCCATCAATTTTTGCCATTTTTGGTGGGGGGTTTTTGCTGCAAGGCTATGGAATATGGTTAGTTTCATTGTATTCATCTGACTCTTCCATGTTGTTGTTTTTGAACAGTTTTCATCTCAGCTGACCGTTCAGTCCTTTATTGTTTCTTGACTGGCGGTCATTAAATCATCCGCATCTGGATTTATATTGATCCACTCTACACTATTCAAACAAAAACAGGGGAAACATCACTTCATCTCGAAGTCTAGCATCTTCAGAGCAGAGACATACAGATCGGGTGCCAGCCAGAGAGCACTCTACTTCACACCTTCAAACAGAAGTATGGGTAGTAAAATGTACTCTTCCCAATAGTTTGAGCCAGCATGTGACACTGCAATTGTCACACGCTGGCTGTATAGCTTGAGGACTGAGTGATCGCAAACCACTGATCAGCTCACAGCTTCAACCTGCAGATAGTGTTGACTGTCAGATGCTGCTCCCCGCAGGGATTCCCCCTCCCCTCTCTCTGTGCTCCTCAATTTAAACATAATTTAATTATGTAAATACATTGTTTTTATTTACTTCACAGGCCTAGTGCATTCTTTTTTTTTTTTTTAATTCTTTATGCCCAGTGCATTCTTGATCTGTTTTTGGATACGTATTTTATTCAGTCTAAATTGGCCATGTACAGTATGAGATTTAACGACTCATAAATCTCCTTTTGTATGTGGCACAGTCTAACACACTGGAAGACCTCTAGATACAACATCAGTAATACAAGGGCTGCAATGGGTTGTAAAGTTTGGCCCAAGTTTTATGAAATCTATAATGACAGAATCTATCGGCTATCATTGCAGATCTTATCTTCTGAAAAATTGCCTGGCGGTCATGCTTGCCCTTCTATAATTTGAGTTCTTACTTTACTGGCTGCCTACTTGTTCTCGGTCTATGACTTCGCCAGTGACAGTCACAACTAAAGTAAAATGACACATGTCGGACACCCCGGTCCGTACTATCAGGAAGCTGCACACCAGCATCACCCCTCACCCATAATTCCATTTACACTAGTGCGTGGACTCCCCCTTCTGAGCGCTGGTCTTCTGGACTGCCCTCACAATTTTTTTATTGACAGTCACAACTAGCATTTTCATAAGGAGTTCATCAATGGCACATGCAGAATTTTTCTGTCACGGAAGGTTTTGTATAAAGCGGAGATGAATTGTGATAACTTGGCATTCTCTTTTACCATTTCCTAGACAGTTGGAGACATTAGTGCTTTAAATAGCACAAATTAATGGATAATGCCATGCTATGGCCATGCAATACAACTGGGCAGCATATTTAGGTAATTTCTGATAACAGACTACCAACAATCATAAACAACATTTGATTTACAATTTTGACAAGATGGCAGCTTTGGTCTGCAACTGCTTTGAGCTGCTTTTACTTGCATGGGGAAGAAAAGCAGCTCAGATGCAAACTGAAGTTAGAGTTCATTAACCGTAAAGCAAAACAGATTTCACATAACAGATGGTTTTTGCAGAGTGCAAACCAAATTTCAACCTGCTTCTTGTTTTGTGCTAAATTTATCTTAAGATATTCATTGCAAAAAAAGACGATCCATGAAAAAAAGACATCTGTCAGTCCCCATCCTCACCTACTTGTCACTGCTTATTTTTAGGATGGATTGTTATAAACCCTAAGCTTATAGACCCTAAGTTCTATGACTGTATTCCCTGTACCAGAAACGGGTATAATATCTTTGCATTAACTGTTTCAGTATTGGATAGAGTAGGAAAGGGTTAAAACCTATGTCTGGTGTTTTTAACATGTGTACCCAATTGGGGAGATTTTCCTTCACTTTCAATTCAGCAGGCACAAAAGGAAGTGCGAGGAACTATTTGCAAAAGTGAGGAACATTCTCTCTATTCCTGTATAGTGCTCACCCCCGAAGGAGCTGCTGGATGAACGGGTCTTCCATAGCCTGTCTAGGGAATTTAGCGACCGGCTGAACCAATAGCATCTACCACCCTTCCCTGGTGACCGATACGACTGAGATCCAGACTGTAGTTATAATGCTGATGGAACTTTATTGCAAAACCTCATACTTGGGAGAGAGTGCATAGGGCTTAGGACATCCATGGCAAAAATAAGACGGAACAGAACTCCAGACTCAACAGTCCTTTTCAGTATTCCACAGTACACGATCAATAGAAGCACACGTTGACATTGGGTATTTGGGCAACAGCTGAATATGGATAGGCATGAGATCTTCAGGAGGAGAGAAACCAGACTTGCTCCTGAAGTCCATTCCAGTACCAGACCCAGCAGCCAGCAGCTTCCCTCTTTCTCCTCCTTTCAGTATTAGGCCTCCTCCAGACTTGATGCCTAGGCAACATTGTCAGCACTTGAGTATTCCTGCCCCCAGGCTGTAATGTTCTTCCATTGATTGCCCCACACTGCAGCAGGGTCACACTCCACTCAGGCAGGTACAATCAATGTAAGAACACCTGGAATTAACCAGATAAATGCCAACTATAATTCAGCCAGCCTGACTACAGCTCTGGCAGCACTAAATTCCAAGTAGCCACTCCACAAAGGGTGGTAGGGGCTACACTTGTTTCTGTAACAGCTCATCATTTCCCATCACTTTTAGTTTTGGTGACAATGGACCAGGACAGATAAAATGGGCGAGTCACAGACACATAGGGTTACTAACCCTTGCCCACTCCAAGATTAAAAAACAAAGTTACACAAGCCCTTCTTAATTTTTTCTTGTTGTGGTGGTGGGGGGCATTTTTATTACTGACAGTTGCAGTTCATTTTGCAGAACCAATGTCTTCATAAAAAAATCTTTAGTGGTATATTTAAGATAAGCAACATTACAATTTCAAATACAATGTAGGTGCAACAGCCTCAAACACAACAACAGCAAATATTCTGAACTAATCCTCGTATCATACAGGACATATTACGTGCGATGTGAATGAGTAGCTGTAATATATGTGCAGGCCTTACAACTTTGCTAAGGAGATCTCACACAGGACAGAAATCATTCTGCAAAGTGTAAATTTAGATCAAAGGAATGTCTCTTACCTTAGGACCAGTCATCAGAAAATTGTTCACTGACCTGCAAGAGACAGAGCAGACCATTAATTGAAAGAAAGAAACTCCAGCTTCCCATCCAGTACATACCAGGAATTCTTCATTCACTTGTCTTAAGAGGCGTGCCACTAATAATGCAGAAAATCTAGAACATGTGGAAGGCCACTTTCGAACAGTATGACCAAAAGTTATAAAGGGCATGTTGTATGGGTCACTGTTGTCCTGGTTTATATTTTGAATCTCCAATCAAATAGACAATCACACTCAATAGTTAGTTCTTAGCTAAAGTTTATATATGCTATCAATACATAGAAAGATTTCCCTTGCACAAGAGAATACCAAAATAAAAGAGCAAAGTGGCTGTATCCTGTTTGAAAACATCAAACTCCTGAGTGTCAAATATTGTGTGCATACTTCTTTAACAGGCTACTCCCTGGCAAAGATCACTGAACAATATTTTGGGTAGCATGGTTCTTTGGTGCAATATAAACTTGTGCTAATAAGAAAATTCAATTCACACCATGTTTATGCCTTAAATAATATGCACTCAACATTTGCTGGGGTTAAAACCTCTGCCTCCAGTCACATTAATGGGGATCACTCAGTCAGGCAATACCTCTAATTTATTAATGCATTGATATGCAGTTTTTGTTTTTAATAATAGAGCTGTTAAAGGAGAACTATGGGGTTAAGGCTTTTCCCCATAGTTCTCCTTAGGGTAACGGGAGGACACAAACTAGCGTCCTCCTGTCACCCTAGGCTCAGTATACCGCGAGCTGCTGCTCGCGGTATACTGAGACGCTGCAGTATACCGCGAGCTGCTGCTCGCGGTATACTGAGACGCTGCAGTATACCGCGAGCTGCAGCTCGCAGTATACTGAGACACTGCAGCTGAAGCAGATCCCGACAATTGTGACGGGATCCACCCAGCTGCGTGACTGACAGCTGGCTCTGCCTATCTAGAGGCAGAGCCCAGCGGTACCCGCCCCCGTCCATTCCGCCAGTCAGCGCTGGCGGATAGGAGCGGGGAGGGGGGAATCCAGCCCCTCCCCTGTCACGGCAGAGAGCCGTGACAGGATCGAGAGGTGAGCGAACGCCGGTATGTGTTCGCTCACCTCCCGATCTACTGAGCCAAGGTCACAGGTCGGCTAGAACTATGAGGTGAGTGGACAGCACTCACCTCATAGTTCTCCTTTTAATTAGCATTTTTTTAAAATGTTTTTGCTTGTCAACAGATGGTGGGTGTATTGGATTTTTTTTTGGAAAGCTGAACCAAAAACAAGCCAAGCAGAGTCAAATCAGTGTTCCAAGTCAATAATACAGGCTTGAGTCTGCCCTCAACACTCCCTCCACTCTGTACTAACCTCCTGCCCCTTCTGCAAGAGCTGTGAGTCCAAAGAGGTAAATATAAATCTCCAGGGTAGGGGAGCCTTCAAAAGGCAGGTGGTATTCATGACCATACGCAGTGCTATAGTTATGGAAAACACTACGCCTTCAAATTAAAAAATATAGATAATTTTATCCCTATTTTGTTTCTCTGTTCTGTTCACCTCTGCAAATGTATGGCTAACTTCAGCAAGAGTGCTGATGAGTCAGAAGGCTCTTTATAGTCCAAAAATGTGGGGGGAAAAAAACATTAAATTCTCCTGTGTGGTCTGTAAGGTTAAAAATAGTCCTGTATATAAAGAAAAGTCCATGTACCCATTGCACTTCTGACCGCTTTTCCATTGTGACAAGGTGGGTGCAACGTTAGTCGACGGATGGCCACTGTCTCTATGACATGAAGAAATATGGACACCGGCACTCCAATAGCAAATAGAATACTATTTAATGATGTACATACAAAAAAGCATAACACACTTAGTGCAACATTTCGGGGTCTCGCAGGATCCCCTTCATCAGGTAGAACAAGGGAGGGCTTGCCTTTTTGCATGTACGTCATTGAATAGATGTATTCTATTTGCTATTGGAGTGCCGGTGTCCATATTTTTTCTGTATATAAAGTAGACTGCATTCTTCCTCCAATAGATTTTAACCTCCCTGGCGGTATGGTTATCTATTTTTCTATTTTTTACTTTTGAATTTCTTGCCGGTTCCGCCCCCCTGCAATGCCAGCGCTCGCAGGGAAGGAACCTGGAAAGACGCCCGAGTGTGGCTCGGGGTTACCGCTTTTGGTACAGAAAATTTACCCCCAAGCCACACTCAGGATTACCGCCAGGAAGGTTAATTGCATAATACAATGACGCAAGGGGGCAAGTGTGTATTAAAGAGCATCCTCATTCATGTGTGCCTAGGGCAAGATGCTGTCTAAATACATCTATTTCTATGTCTATACTATCTTTATTCATAATTCAGGGCCTGCAGAAATAGGCTTACCTATGCACAGAAGTATGCACCGTGTGCAGATTCTTACTATTTAAAACATTACCTGAATGTTTAATACATTGAGTACCACTTTAGAGGGCGTGTATGTGTTAAATGGGCTGCTATTTCTACTATCTTTAAACAAGCAAAAAAATATTTTCAGGATTTATGTATAAACATTTATTCTAAAGATCGCATTTGGCTATTGTATCTGCTTTACCACTAAGTTAGGTATATTTGTTCATTGTGGCTCTTTACTGGACCACAAGGCTTAGCGCTGAACTTGCCTGACTTGGATGAACAACATCTTTCCACTTCAGCCTCAACACTTCCATTTCTATCAAACTCTTGTCTCGAACCAGGTTACAAACATCATTTAATTACGAAGGGCTTGAAATGAAGACACGCACGCCACGTTTTTTCTAGGTTACTTGGTAACCATTTCTATGGGACTATTCTCAAACAGGATGTTGAAAGAAGGGGGAACAACCATTCCAGACTTGCATAATTCTACTTTTCCATGTGATTTTTCATTGTACGTCTGTTCTGAGGACTTCATGTGACCTCTTCAAACTAAATGCATTTAGGTTGGGAAAAGCTAAAGGCTCTATTCCTGTTAAGCATTCCGTGCCAAACGGGATACCCAGGGATTAATTTGAAGAGGTAACCTCTGATACCAAAGGACAGAAAAGGATAATGACCATGTGGAAAAACATTGAGATTGGTAACTAGTCAATGTTATCTTAATCCTATTAACTCTAAACCCAGTCACACCTGGTATGGGGTGAATCTGAAGGGTGGGCGGTTGTACTGCTAATACTAATTTCACCCAATTTGCAGTTGGACTTTGTTGAAATGAATGGATACTTTTAAAGAGACCAAATGTTCTAGACCCCACGTACACAAATATTAGTCAACTGTAGTAGTCATATGCTGCTTGCTTTTCAAACTTGCCAGTTGTATGTACATAATTAATGTTAACTATAGCAGTGCTCCAGGTAACCCCAGAAATATGACACACAAAATAATCATTGTTTTATTGGCCAGGTCAGACAGTCATCACCATTTTTAAAGTCATAAGCTGACTGCAACAGATGCCACAGAGTGCCTACATGTGATGTGACAGTCTAAATATGAAATACATCACTGTGGTTGTGTCATCCATACATGTCTGATTGACTAATGACCAGATTTAGGATGACCATACACAGGTGGATAATGAAAAGGATGCATTGAAATCCATTTAGTGCATTAAATGATAGAAGTGCTTTTCACTGTCTAAGCACCAATGGCTTTTATATTGTCTATCATTCAACAGACCACACACAAAGATAACCCAATGTGTGCTACTTAAAAGTGTACGTCAGAGAAAGATTAAAAAGAAAGCATACACAGTACATCCCTGTTTTAGTTATTGCTTTGACATTGTAAGTACAGAAAAATACCTGTTGATGTGCCAGAATTGCACTCCAAATTCCTGCTGTGGGGTTGACAACACGCAACATTTTTGTGGACGAGTCGAGTCAGCCTTACCAAGTTCTATCTGGCTAAACTATTCTCCACAACATAGAGACTAATTGTCCAAGATAAGAAATAGCAGTGCTCATTAGGCTCCTTGAGATAACACAGGAAGTGGGCATAGTACAACCCTGAATTTCACACACAATCCACAGGTATTTTCTGCACTTATTAAACACGCTTCCCTCGATCAGCTGATTGAAGGAGCAAGTCGGAAAACCTTCGAACGAAGATTTTTGTTTGCTGTTCCGGACGCTGTCAGAATACAAATGAACAGCGGGAATTCCTCGATCAATGCTTGTAAGCGTTGATTGGAGGAACATGTTCTATTTTTTTTTCATTCATCCCACGGGTTGAACGAAAAAAATAGAACAGTGTGTATGGACAGCTTTACACTGACACTAATAACTTAATATATCTGATGTTACGTCCTAGTTATTATTTGCAGAGTAGTTTATAGTGCAAGTTGGACCAACCCTTCTTCTGCCATGGTGCAGCCTAGGTTTCCCCACAGAATCTGTTTATGCCAGGCCATATTAAGTGATCAGAATAGGTTAGAAAGTGGCATTAATACATGAGTAAATGGTCAAAAGGAAGGCTTTGGGAACCATTCATTCTGATTCTTGAGTGCGGTATGGGGAATCTTGCGACTAGAAGTGCTGTGCGCTAAAGTAAAATTTCCCTGAGATTTTCTACCAATGTTAACTTGGTTAGACTATATTCATTCTCAGTGTATATAAGTGCTTGCAATGATATGTTCCTCCCTTCATATATTTGGCCTTTTAAATGTACCCCTGAGTACAGTATTCTTCTTTCAAGATTTAGAGGGTGCCAGAACTGCCTGGTGCTTGAAAGGGGTATGAACAGATAAAAACTTTAAAAAGAACCATTAGCCATCTTGAATTAAATGTTTTTAAGCCATGGACATGAGTTTATCAAATATGAGTTTTTTCAGCAACATCCTCCATTAACCTCATCATGTGTGGAATTCAAATATTTGCAGGGGATGGAAACTGGGCAGGTTTGAAATATGTGTAGAAACCTATGGAAGTAATAGAGCAATCCTTTAGAACAATGCTATTCAGATTCAAGCCTGCAGAAAACCCTGTGAGCCCTCAGAGGATTCTGTAGATAAGGTATGTT